TGGACTGAAGCACCTAGAGGGAGGGGGTAAGGACTGTGCCCCACTTAATCCCATCCTGTAGGGGCTCTCCCCGCCCAGACCCCACAGCTCACCCCAAGAGGGGGTATGCTCAGTAACCACAAAGCCACCAGCCGGAGTCGGAGCCAGTGGGGGTGGGGCCCTCGGGGACAGGCAGCAGGGGCCCATAGTTCTCCCCACTCCGTGACATAAGCTGTGCGCCTCTAGCTGAGTGGCCTGGCCAGTGCAATAGTACAGCAGGAAGGCACTGGCCTCACACCCAGCCAACCCAGGTTCAATTCCTGGCACCCCAATATGGTCCCTGGAGCACTGCCAGGAGTGAGCCCTGAGCGCAGAGCTAGGAATAAGCCCTGAGCCCTCCCGGGTGTGGCACCAAACCGAAAGTATTTATTTTTTTAAATAGATGAGTTGCCTAACCTCTCTGGGCCTCACTCCTCCCTGCTCAAGTTCATTGTTCCACTACCTCCAGGCCTGCTCTGTGTGTTCCCTGAGCCCGTGGCCGACACGCTGGACAGAAGGGGAGTCGTCTTTATGGAGGGGTGCAGACGGCCCCTTCACACCACCCTGACTCAAGCAAACATGCACAGTGCTGTTCTCTGAGTACCCCCAGAGCTGACCTCCCTGTTTTGAGCAGCCCCTGGCCCAGGCCTGGTCTGTCACGGTTCCTACAGAGTCATCCCCCACCCCACCCCCACCCCCGGCCTGGGCCACTCCTCCTCATTAACTGCCGCCTTCAAAGATTAATGACTTCTACGAAGTGCCAAGGCTTGCCCGGATGGGCTGATGGGGGTCTGATTGTGTCTAACTGGACCTTGGGCCATCACTGGCTTTCATTGTCTTCTCTGCCCTGTTGTGAGGAGAGCAGTGCACATGGGTGGGGGGTGAGGGGGCGGGGGGAGTGGTGTCCAGGAAGAGGCAGTGTGGTTCCAAGGACGGGAAGGGACAGAGGCAGTATCGCTGGTCTGCTCTTCACTGGCTCTGCCGGACTTCACAGAGCTGGCCTCTGTCTGCAGCCCTGTGCCCCAGGAACTCTGTCTCCTGTCCCCCATTTCCCCTCTCACTCCAGATTCCCCTTTTCTCTCCCTCCCGTGTGAACATTTCCCACTTTCCCTCTCCTTCCTATTCCCTTTCCCCTTTTCCCTTTCCCCACCCTGTCTCTCTCTCTCTCTCTCCTTTTGTTTTTTTGTTTTTTGCCTCTCACCTTGCTTGCTTTTGTTTCATTTGGGGGCCACACCCAGTGATACTCCTTACTTACTCCTGGTCAGAGTCTGGCAGAGTCTGGCAAACTCCCTGTGTCGTACCCAATATGCCAAATACCAGTAACAATGATGGGTCTCGTTCTCCTAAAGAGCCTTGAATATAATCTCAGGGCTAGGATGAAGGAGACGTTACTGGGGCCTGCTCGAGGCAATCGACGATTAACAGGATGATTTGTGATTGTGTGATTTTTGTGATTCCTGGTCATATGTGGTGCCTGGGATTGAGCCTGGATACCTGAGCTCTAACTCTCTCTCTCTCTCTCTCTGGCGCCTCCCTCCTTGCATTCTCTCCCTCCTGGGCTCAGGGGTAGGGCTCACACCTGCTGCAGGGTCCTGAGGGGTCTGGAGCAGGAGGCAGTGAAGAGAGAAGAGGAAGAACTCTCTTTGGTGTCCTTGGCAATCCTTACACACCCCTTTGCAGGGGTGCTAGTCTCCTTAGATCCCGAGCATAACTTCTGCAGAAGCTCTGCCTGGCCTGTGCCATGAGACTGGCAGCCGTGCCCTATGATGGGTCAGCAAGGAGACTCCATGGCATGAGAATGAGTCATGATGGCATCAGGGGGGTACTTTCTACCAGCCCGCACCCAGGTATGGTGTGTCCACCCCCATCTGTCCCGTGCACGTGTTACTCAGGAGTAGGCTTGGCCTGACTCCAACATGAAGATCAGGGATGCTGGCTAAGAGCCCAGCTGCATCCCATAGAGATGGGGTCAGAGAGCGAGCCCTGAGCGCAGCTCTAGGGCCTAAGCTTGGACACTCACAGGCGCAATCCAGATGCCAAGCTCCTGCAGGGCCTGGGCAGACACCAGAGAGAGCACCAGGGGGCCGGAATGGTGGAAAGTGGATCAGGAGAGACTTGACCCTGCCAAGGGCCCTGGGACAAGCTGATTCATTGGGGGAGTGACCACGTGCTCTCAGAGGGAGGGGCAGGTCAGACTCCTCTATGTCCTGATAGAAGACACCCCTGCAGAGGACAGGAAAGCAGGGAGTTGGGGACAGGGGCCGACTGGCCCGGGGGTGCCCAGCCTGACCTGCTCCTGCACTGGCTGTTCCATGGCAGGATTTTTCCCATGGTCCCCCCCCCCCCCACCCCCGCCAGGAAGGGTGGGGAAAAATGTCCCTTCACAGACAGGATTGGGAAACTATAGGATTGGCCACTTTAATGCCAAGTCTTGAACACACAGCACTGCTCACAGCCTGAAGTCAGCCCACCAGAAGGCTTGGTCAGAGCCCACTTGGCAGGGGTGTGGCATGAGGCAGCCCGGCCCACAGGTGTGTGTCTCCATCACCCGCCGCAGGTTATGGGAGGGCCGTGGGGGAGCTGACGGCTCTTAAAGCAGGGGGTCCATGTCCATATAGATGGGGGTCCACATCCTCACAGATGGGAGAGCCCATGTCCTCACAGATGGAGGTTCACAGCCTTACAGATGGGAAGTTCATGTCCTTACAGATGGGGGTCCATGTCCTTACAGATGGGGGTCCATGTCCTCACAGATGGGGAGTCCCTGGCCCTTCCAGTTGGCGGAGCAAGGGTTACCCGGTCTTGGGGCTGCCTTAGGGACAGCCCAGAGCACATGCTTCCCGTTCACAGCAGTGCCTCCTCTTTCCAGCCCAGCAGGCCTACCTGCCAAGGTGAAGTGTAAGTAAGCAGCAGAGAGGGAGGAGGAAAGGAGCCAGCCCCGGCAGGTGAGCTCACTAAAGTCCAAGGCGCAGGAAGAGGGCCCAGCTGGGACAAGACGGTGCTGCTTCCGGCTCATGCCCCACTCAGTACCCTGTAGACACTGTACCCTGTAGGCAGTCAGGGGGCTTCTCTGGGCATCTCTGCTTCACCCCCCACACACACCTCCATGCCCCCCACATGGGGTCCAGCACCTGCCTGGCACCCCCTCAGGGGCTGCAGGGTCCAGCACCCAGTGTCCCGGATTGGAAGGGGCACAGGAGTCCTGAACTGTGTCAGCTGGCAGGCAGGACCTGGGGTCTGTGGCCCAAGGACGGGGGAAGCCTGTGTGGGCTCCGGGGTGTGTGCTAGGTCCCAGTGAGTGAGCACTGAGCCAGGGTGTAGCATCAGCCCCAACCACAGCTCAGCCAGGCTCCCTCGGCCACAGGCAAGGCTGGTTGCAGGAGGCAGATGTAGGGCCGAGAGGGGAGCAGAGCCTTTAATGGTGTTCCCGAAGGGCAGAGGAGCAGAGCTAGAGCTGGGACAGGGCACCCTGCTGACAACGCAACCCCTGCTCGGGCAGCCCTGGCTCCACACACCCCTGCAGGAGCCTAAGAACCCTGGGTCCTGGACATGGGCAACCCGCCCCTGACGTATGCCCAGCCTGGGACAACCCCTAAGGGGAGCCCCTCTGAAGCAGGAAGGCCGCTAGGGTACCTGGGGCCAGTGCTTGCCTCTGCCCCAGAGCAGCTCAGCACAACGAGCAAGTTCCTGCTGGGGTGGCACCAAGCAGGAACAGAGCGGGCCCGGGACAAAAGGCCTCGGGCACAGACCCAGCTCTGCAGCTGCAGGCCAGACCCACGTTTCCAGGCGCAGTCACCGTGGAGATGCCAATGACACCAACACCCAAAGCACCCCCCCAGCCCTCATGCCGTGCACCCACCCCAGCCCAGCCCACCCATCCCGCTCATCCCCAAGCTGACGAGTCCTAGCAGGCCTCCTTTGCCAGCGACAAAAATAACTATTTTCAAAATTCACAGCAGGGCTTTCGCCTACACACGCTGCGCCGACTGGAACCTGAGGGAGACATGCAGAACGCAGCGCGCTCTGCAGCAGGCAGGCTGGGAACTCGGCGGCCCCCACCCCGGCCCCCGCGCAGGGGCAGGGCCCGCGGGGAAGGGAGCGCTGAGGCACCGTCCAGGGTCTGAAGGCTGGCAGCAGACCTAGGCAGGACCAGGCCAGAATTCTGATGCTCTGCTTCCTGGCCAGGCCACCCACCTCTACCCCCAAGCACCCGGCCAGCATCAGCCCACCTGCCCTGTCACACACACCCCCTCCCACCTGCATGCCCAGACCTGGCTGCATTTGAATCAAGCTCGTGGGTCCCTCCACCACCACCACTCCCCTGTCCTGCCAGATAGACAGAGTCAGGTGGAAATATCAAGGTCAAGAGGGGAAGGGCTGGGTCCCAGGTCAAATTGGCTCAGGAACCCTTTCCCCTGCTGTTCCCATGATGCTTGGTGCTACCGCAGCTAACAACCAAGTGCAAAGTTTCTCCGAGTGCCAACGACAGGAAGGAGAACGCCCCCCCCCCCCGCCCCCCGCTCCATTCCCTACCACTTCTCTGGCCCCAGAACTGACCCACATGTGGATTCATGAATCCGCCCCCCCCCCCAGACTCCTGCACCTCTACCATCAGCGCTCAGGGGACCCTGCCCGAGCCCCATGTCTCAGCTGGGTCCAGGGTTGGAGTGACTTCCACATCACCCTGCAGAGGGCCAGGGTTCGAGGGCAAGGCTTTGACTGAGCAAAGAGAGAGTGAAGCTGGAGGGGCTCATCCACCTGTATCCCCAGGTCCAAACCATAGTGCAATGAGGTGGCTAGAGCTCATTTTACAGATGAGGAGACTGAGGCCCAGAGAGCCTGCACAGACCACCCTGGGTCAGGGCACGACTGAGACTCAGGCATGCCAGTTCGGTTTATTTCCCTCACCCCAAACGAAGTTCACTCCCCACTGCCCTGCAGTCTCAGGGCTTTGGGTCCAGACTAGAGGGGCCAGGCTAGAGTACAGGAGACTAGGGGATCGACAGAGACCCTCCCGGCGCCCCCATCCCGTTCAGATGCGGTGAGACATCAGCCTGGTGTTGAGTTTACGAAAAAAGGAGCGCAGCTTGCAAATCTTGCATTTCTTTGGGCGTCGCCCCCAAGAGAAGCTTCGGGACTTGCTTTCCTCCTCCCCTTCCTCCTCTTCCTCTTCCTCCTCACTAGCCCAGGGTCCCCAAGCTCCCCCATTGAAGTCAGGGTGGGCCCGAGGATTCTCAGCCGGGTAGCGCACAGGGATGGCCGTGCGGTTATAGTCCACCAGGCGGGCCAGCAGGGCCCGGACCACGTCAGGCCTCTGGCCGGCCAGGTCCTCCCGTTCGTAGGGGTCAGCACTGATGTTGAAGAGCCACACGGCCTGGCGGGCGCTGGCCAGGCGCTCCAGGTTCCACCAGCTGCCGGGGAAGGCAGCCAGCGTCTGCGGGGGGATCCAGTCTCCATAGCCAGGGTCTCCGGTCAGCAGCTTCCACTCGCCCACGCGGATAGCCGCCTGCACGGCCGTGTTCCAGATGCCAAAGCCCCCCTCCAGGGAGCCGTGCTCTGCGTGGTTGTACAGCGGGTCGATGTTGTGCAGGATCTCAGTGCGCGGTGACGCCCGGCCCTCGCTGATGGCGGGCCACACGTCATAGCCGTCCAGCCCGTCGGCCGCCGAGGCACTGCCCCCGGCCAGGCCCACCAGGGTCGGGTACCAGTCGGTGATGTGAACCAGGGCCCGGCTCGTCCTGCGCTTCCGCTTGAGCAGGGGGCTATGGACGAAGCCCAACCCCCGCACCCCCCCTTCCCAGTAAGTGCCTTTGCGTCCCCGGAGGGGCCAGTTGCTGCCCCCCGAGAAAGTCTGGCCACCGTTGTCACTGGAGAAGATGATGACGCTGTTGTTGTAGAAGCCATAGCGCTTGAGGGCCCAGGTGATGTTGCGCACGGCCTCATCCATGCAGGTCACCATGGCCGCATACTTCCGCCGGGCCACGTTGCCCATGGTGCGGTAGCGATACAGGTACTCCCGCGGGGACTGCAGGGGGGTGTGCACCGCCTGGAAGGCCACGTAGAGGAAGAGGGGCTGCCGGGGGCTGTGGCTGGCCAGGATCTGGCTGACACGCTGGGCATAGAGCAGCGTAGAGTACTGGCCACTGAGCCCCCAGGCCACGCTCTCACCCTCGTGCAGGTCGAAGCCACACACGCCGGGACCATCACAGTTGTCATAGGTATAGTAGTCCACATTGCCCGTAAGCGAGCCCAGGAAGGTGTCAAAGCCCCGGCGCGTGGGCAGGCACTCCTTGCGGTAGAAACCCAGGTGCCACTTGCCCACCATGTGTGTGGAATAGCCGGCCTCCTGAAGCTTCTGGGGCAACGTCACCTGGTCTAGGGGCAGGCAGTTGGGCTGCCGGGGGCGAATGATGGAGTGCTGCAGCCCCGTGTGGATCTGGTACCTGCAGGGACGCGGGTGAGGAGACAGGCAGAAGGCACAGGTCAACTGCAAAGCAGCACTCAGCCACCAGCACCCTCCCTCCTCCCCGACTCTTTCCCAGAGGTGGGCTCCAGGTCCAGCCCTCCCAGCCCCCACGGCAACTGCCACAGAAGCATCATCTCATGTGCCACGCACCATAAGCCCATCATCTCACTGAGTCCTCCAACTCAGTTAAAGCAGATATTAAGATCAGGTGATAAAAGAGAAGACCGACGTTTAGAAGTCACTGAGGCTCGCACATGAGGAAGCTGGGGAGTTTGACTGAGCCAAGTTAATCACGACAGTAATGGTAATAATAGCACATATTGAGCTCCTTTATGCAAATTACCTCCCTAAGTCTCACCATAGGGGCTGGAGTGGTGCATTTGCCTCAAACATGGTCAACCAGGGCTCCATCCCCAACACCCCATATTGTCCCCCAAGCTCACCAGGAATGACTGCTGAGTGCAGAGCCAGGGGTAAGCCCTGAGCACTGTCGTTATGGCTCAAACGCAAAAACAAAACAAAAAAAAAATTAGAAAGTAAGTAAATAAATCTCACCATAACCTAAGGGATACTGGTCAAGATTATTCCCACTTCCCACACAAACAAGCTGAGGCTCAGTAAATGGAGTCATTTGCCCCAGGAGTCCCACAATTAATAAGTGAGGTTTGAATTTGATACCCAACTGTCTGGTTCCAGACTTCAGATTTTTCCATGTGGTTGGGAGCCAGTCCTGCAAGCAAACTCCTACTCACCCGTGAAAGCCCATCCCAAAGGTTATCCCACTTTAAAGTTTTTCACAACTCTTTCAAAGAATGACTCACTTTTGCTTCTGACTCTTCTCGAGTAATCACTTTTTTTTTTGGCTTTTTGGGTCACACCCGCCAATGCACAGAAATCACTCCTGGCTTTGCACTCAGGAATTACTCCTGGTGGTGCTCAGGGGACCCTATGGGATACTGGGAATCAAACTCGGGTCGGCAAATGCCCTACCTGCTGTACTATCACTCCGGCTCCTCGAGTGGTTACGATATAGCATCATTGTGCTACCTGGCCATGGGTTTATATTCAGTTGCTCATGCTCAAGTCCAGCGTCATATGATGGAACCATGCCTTACTCAACCGTGTAGTCCTAGTACTCAGATGATATTTCAAAGTCACTCACAGAACAAACAAATATATCAATGAACGATGACCCTCCAGATTTTAGAGGCATTTAGGTCCATGTCATCTTCCAGTTTATTCTCCTTGTCTCTAAAAGACACTAATGTCTGGAGGAGGGGAAGGGCCTTGTCCTAGGTCACTGGGTAGTCAGGGCCAGAGCCAGAACTTAAATCCAGAACATGAATCCGAGCAGAGTCCATTGAAAAGACCCTGTTCTGGCAAAGGAGACAGCAGGGGCATCAGTTTGCTCACCTTGAGAAGTGACTTGGTTAGATGGGAGATCTCTACGCCCCAAGTCTTCTAAGGCCAGTTCTCACTTCCCTGCTGGGATGTGGGTCACAGAGACAGGCTAACGCCCTTTGGCACGAACAAACCCTGCATTCCTTATTTATTCATTCCTAGCCCAGTCCCCTTTCTGAGGGCCAAGTACACATGTGATCTGCACATGCTCTCTAGTCTTGACTCAAATCCTAAAGGTCCCAGATAAATAAAAAGCCCAAGAACTGCAGGATGTGTTAGAATCCCACACCTTTTCCTTTCCCACCGGCACACACCTTATTACCCAATTATCTGATACATCCTTCCACCTCCTCTTCTTCTTTTATTTTCTTTATTTTTTATTGTTGTTGTTTTGTGCCATACCTGGTAGTGCTGGGGGCTGATCCTGGCTTTGCTATGGCAGGGAGGAACGTTCACTCCCACTTGTGCTGCTCTGGGGCTCAGGGATTAAACCCAGCTCTCACCCCAACCCCCTTTCTTCTTCTTAAAGTTATTACTTCGGAGGTTGGAGTGATCACACAGCAGGTAGGGCGTTTACCTTGCATGAGACCAACCTGGGTTCAATCCCCATACAGTCCCCCAAGTACCGCCAGGAGTAATTCCTGAGTGCAGAGTCAGGAGTAACCCCTGAGCATAGCTGGGTGTGACCCCAAAAAAGCAAAAAATAAAATATAAAGTTGTTACTACTGCGAGCTCTCTTTAGCTACTATTACCATTTTTTATATAATGGCCCCCTCCTCATTCACAGGTTTGCTTCCTGTGGGGGGGGGTTGTTTCCTGTGGTTTCACCTAGCCACATTCCATCTTGATCCATCCTATAGTTGATGCAACTGAGGTTTCCCCCAAGGGCAGCACCCCACCAAGTGCACTGGGCTGGCAAGCGGCAGAGCTGAGCTTTGATCCCAAGTCAGCAAAACATGCGCAGCCCCTCTCACGCTCCCACCTCTCCAGACCTCCATCAAGCTTTCTGAACAACTGGACTTGATCTGATCAGCCTCCTTGAAGCAAGACTCTCACAGAAGAGCTCTGCAATGATGCCCTGCAGTATTGGTGTGTAAAGTGTGTGAGCACCATAAAAAAAAACTCTGGTTCCCTCCAGCCTCCGTAGATGTGACTTTAAGGGACACTCCTGAGAGCAGTTGGCATCTGTGAGACAGAGCCAGCTGCAGGGGCAGAGGACAGATACTGCCCAGCCATGATCAGCAAACTGCACTAACTTCACCGCCCAGGGGCTGAAGGTTGCCCTGTGCAGCTGTTCATTCCCCTGCTTCAAACCAAAGTCACTTCTGCAGAGAAATGCTCGCATGTGCACAGCCCACCAGGGTGTGGAGTCTTCCCCCCTCCCCCCATCCCTCTTCTGGAGGTTATGCCATATTTGGTCTTGAATCCCACCACCACCCACTCAGCACTGTACCCTGTACCCCCCAACACAAACACCAGCATCGTTCTCTCTTCCCTTTCTCTGTTCCTGGATCTAAACTCTGATAGCCAAATCAAAGGGAAAGGTGCCATCTGATTTCCAGCTCCAGGCCACCCAGCCCCTCCTCCTACAGGCACTGGAGGTGGGCCTGGGAACAGAGTTGGGAGCCCCTTGGCCATATATGTCACCTCTCTCCTCCAGGGCAAACGCACTGCTTCCAGAGATCACACCCGTGGCTTCTGGGTGGAACTTGGGAGAAAGCAAGCCTTGGAGCTCATCCAAGGAGGCTTAGCTACAGCCGTGCCAAAGGATTTTCTCCTCTAAGTGGCCAGAGTTGGCTTTCCACGCTCCACCTCCTGACTCTCTGCTCTTCTAAGCTTGTAATCCTGCCTTCTTGTTGGCTGGGGACAACTGCTCCTCCAGAAAGTGGCTCCCAGGCAAGTGGGGAGGATTCGAAGAGGATCAGACACTTGAGTTAAGTAACTAGCCTAAAGCCACGCAGGGTCTCTTTTTTTTTCCTCAGGTCTATGAATCCTGGGCTTCCTCCTAGTGTCTGCAGACAATCTGGGGTCCTAACCCCACCCGTAACACAGAGGCTGCCACTCTCTGATGGGCAAGCAGGTTACCAGAAATTTCATTCCATCCTCTCCACACACATACATCTTTTCGAGATAAAAATGGTTCTCTGGTCCATTCTATGGACAGGAAAACTGAGATTAGGGAAGTTAGGGCATGAGGGAGGATCTGGAGAGCAGCAGGTTGCAAAAGTGCCAGTCCCTTGATTCCTCCAGGGGAAGCAAAGCGACTCTCCTTTCACATGGTGTGGGAGGAGGGTTAGTGTAAGGAAACTGAGGCCCAGAAAGAGGAAAGGCTTCTACTAACCATCACAGTGTCACCTGGAGATAAAATTGGCCCCATCCGCTGCATGGCTTTCCCACTTCCCCGCAGGGGTACCGTTAGGGGAAATTACCCACTGGGACTCTCTGGGGTGTCAGTGGCAATCCCAGAGCCTGCAGCGGCCATACCTACCTGCCGGTGAGGAGTTGGCTGCGTGAGGGCGTGCAGATGGGCTGGATATAATAATTCTCCAATTTCACACCCTCAGCTGCCAGCCGGTCCAGCGTAGGGGTCTCGATATCGGAGCCATGGTAGCCCACGTCGTGGTACCCCTGGTCGTCGGTGAGGATGAAAATGATATGGGGAGGTTGGGGAGGAGCGGCAGAAGGCTGCTCGCCGGCCTCCCCAGGTCCATCGGCCACCAGGCTCGGCTTGGACCAGTCCCAGGACAGGTAGCCGAAACTGAGCAGGCTGACGAGCGAGAAGCCCGTGAGAGCGTGCATGGCCATGCCCGCCCGCGCGCGCGTCCAGCCGCGCACGGCTCCCGCGCTCACTGCCCGGCGCGCCCAGGGCGCACGGCCCGCCCGCCGCGCGACGCTGCGCTCAGGGCCCCAGGGAACCACCCAGCGGGTGGTCGGGGGGCGCCGCGAGGCGCTCCGGAAGAGGTCAGGCCCGCGCTGAGCTGCCCTCGGCCAGCGTCGCGCCCGTCCTGCGCCGCCCTCGCTCCCCTCTCCCAGCTCAGCCAGGCCAGTCTGAGACGCGGCGTGGCGGCTTCCCAAAAGTGCTCTGCACCATCCTCTGACTCTTCTCTCCCTGCGAGCCCTCAATCGCCCCCGCCTCCTAATTTCTCTCCCCTCTGCTTTCCCTTTTCTCCTCCCCTCGACCCTCCAGCCCCCAGCCCGGCCTCTCGCCCCGCCCGAGCGAGTCCGGAGAACTAGCGAGCTCCCCGCAGGGAGGCGGGCAGGACCCCAGGGGGAAGGGGAGGGAGGCAGGGCTTGGGCGGGTCTGGGGGTGGGGAACACAGCGGGAGAGAATTGCGGAAAAGTTGTAACATCTGCCGCCGGGCCCCAGGTGGAGGGGTGGGACGCCCCGAGGCGACTCCGCCCCTGGGCGGGGTGCCCGGGCCGCCCGGCCCTCAGGCTCCAGCTTCGGCCCTGGACAGGAGGGAGGGGCCGGCCTGGAATTCCATAGAACAGCTCCAGAAAGGACATTCCTTGATGGTGGAGTCTTGGCATCGCCCAGGCCCAGCCTGGAAGGATAGCGCGTCATTGTCTGTTCTAATCCAAAGAGGGAGAAACCGAGGCCAGAGTGAGGGAAGGGGTTAAATCACAGGGCACAGGGCACAGACACAGAGCGTCTGTCCGCGCATCTATACCGGCTACTTGCAGCTTTGAGGGGCCGGACCAGCCCGTCAGTGGACCACTAGAAAGAAGTGGACTACGGGAATGACTCTGGCTAATGCCGGGGTACTGGAAAGTGGGCGATGGGTCCTGGCCTTAACAGCATCCTTTTGCCAGGTGTCCTACTGCACTGGTGTCTGCAGGCAAGACCATGAAGGCCAGTCAGTTGCAAGAATGGCTGTTCTCGACACCAGTTCTCTCCGAAATCCCTAGGAGACAGCTGAGGTGGGCATGCCTGCTGTGGTATGAAGGGGACAGCTTTCCAGAGGAAGGGGGCAAGCAAGAGAGAATGTCCCTGCCCCCCTGCTGAACGCTGCTTTGCAGACCCAGAGCGGCTGCTTCCTCAAGACCACCAGGCTCCAGAGTCTTAGGAGAAATGTTTTTGTTGTCTCGTGCCAGTCAGTAACTTCAAGCAACGGACACTAAACAGTGTGTGGGCCAAATAATCCAAGCTCCACGAAGTCTTAAGGCCCTGGGTGCTGCTTTGCAACTTCCGCTTGGCCCCATTTTCCAGGCTTTTATTAGACTACACTTTCAAAACCGGAGAACTAAGCTGAGCAGAAGCAGCTAGGCTTCTTCTCTATTTGGACTTCAAATGTTTAATACCACAGTTTCTGGAAACTCTATTTCCCAGGTTTACGTGGCCAAGGACCCTCTTTCTCACAGAATCTCTCGAAACGGATGCACACCTGCATATTCTCCCCTCATCTCTCCCCTGCCGGGGTTCTGTCCCATCCCTTCCCTCTCTCCCTTAAAACCACTTCGTGTCGGGTAAAAACCAGACCTCCAAAATAGCAGTCCAAGTGAGGCTACATTTCCAAACGAGGGCTGCGTGGGGCCAGCCACTCCTGTTTGCTCCAAGTCCCATATTTAGGGTGACCAGATTTATCAAGAGGGAAAACAGAGCCTGTGGTTCCGGCAGAAGAAATGTTGAGGGCAGAAGGAAGGAATACAGACTCCTGAGGCTGCTGAAATGCTGCCTCTGGAGGTTCGGTCTGAGGCCAGGCAAGGGTCAGCATGGCTGTCACAAGGCCTCACCTGAACTCAGATTCACCAAGACCTTGGTCAAAAGGGACAGGGTGGAACTGCTGTCCACTTGCCTCATGCACACGGAGAAATGGCCAAAGAGTCTGGGGTGGGATTCTGTCGGATGGCAAAGGGTCCAGAGATCAGGAGCCAGAGTGCACAGGGTACAGCGGATAGGGCACTTGCCTTGCACATAGCCAACCGGGGTTCGATCCCCAGCATCCCATATATTCCCCCTATGCCCCCCAGGAGGGATCCCTGACCAGAAAGCCAGGAAAGCCCTGAGCACCGCTGGGTGCGGCTTGAAAACCAAAAAGATCCAGACATCTCTGGGAGGCTGTGAGAGACAAAACAAGCAGAATTTGGGGGCATTCAAATCTGAACTCTGCCATCAGATTGCTTGAGTTCAAACCTGACACTTGGTGGTCAGGTCTTGGGCACATTATTTAACCTTCATCAGCCTGAATCTCTTCATCTGTAAAATGGGGTAATACTATAAGGGAGATTAGGTGCAGCATTCATGTAAGTACCAGGCACACAGAAAACACACAGTGACTTTGAACAGCTATGATAGTCACTCTTGGTGGTTCTGAAAGAAAAGACAGACCAGTGAGTAAGAGTTACTGGCAGACAGATTTGGGGCCAATTCAAAGGGACTTTTCTGGAGCCAAAGTGATAGTATAGTGGGTAGAGTGCTTGCCTCGCATGCAACTTATCTTGGTTTAATCCCTGGCACCCCATTAAGGTCCTTTGAGCCCTGCCAGAAGTGTATCTGAGTACAGAGCCAGAAATAAGCCCTGAGCTCTGCCAGATGTGCCCCCCTCCAAAATAAAATAAAATAAAGCGATTGATTTGTTAAGCATAAACTTGCTAATTAGTAGGACGGCAATGACAGGGGAGTGGCCATGCAGACCCCACTAGCTTGGCCCTCTATCTTCTCTCTTGTTCTCCAATATTCTTTCTTTTAAAAATCTCTCAGTAGTCACCAAATACCCCAGTGGCCTCTACACCCTACTCCCCTCTGGGGGCAAGGGAAACAAGCACTAATCCTCCCCTGAGGGCTGTCACCTATGGGTGCCAGGGTGCATTTCAGCTAGGAGCCAGGGAGGGGCTCAAATGCCTGCAGGAACCCCAGATTCACTCTCTGGCACCGTAGGTTCCCCTGAGCAAAAAAACAAACAAGAAACACTTTAACTGGACATTCCCAAAGGCTAGAGGAGGTTCAGGAGGGCACCAGCAGGATAACCCCAGGTTGCTCTCCTGGGGGGCCACAAGGACGCGAGCCTCAGGCTTCCTACCCTGCTCCGCTCCCTGGCCTGATGGTGGCCTTCAGCCATCCCACTCCCCAGCAGATTCTCCAAGACTCCTCAAGGTCAAGTTCAAGAAAGCTCAGAGACACCGGAATTCCCAAGTTCCCACCTCGGCCAACCTAGCCTCTGCAGTTGGTATCTTAGGGTCCACTGTGAAGGTGAATGACAGCATTACATACCCACCTTACACCAGGAAGATGTCTCCCCATTCACATAGGTGTGTGATTACCCCATCCCCTCAGATGACGGCCTTCTTAAAAGACAAGCAAAACCTAGTTTTTGCTCACAGAGAGCAAACCTGACACGGCAAAGAGGTGACTGTGTCACTTCCCAACTATCAGAGATTCCCATTGATGAATTCAGACTTCCCAACATACCGAGTCCCTCATCTCTAAAACTGTGCAAGCGAAGAAATCATCCCTCAGCCAGGAGGTAACAGAGATTCCCCATCTCACACAAGGAGTGAAACCCAAGGGCTGTGCAAGTTCTCTCCAGCCTGAAAATGTTTACAACTGAATTTCCTTTCCCCAGGAAATTTCCAGGGCCCAGAGATCTACTAGTGAAAAACCAGGCGAGTCTGTTTTGTGGCTTTATCTTTCACAGCGCTGCGTGTGTGGTGTGAGTATCTAGGTAGGTATCTATGTTTGACCATATTTGAACTAAAACGATCCTAGCACAGACACATCCTTCTGACTGAATCAACCCTGACAAAGAGCTTAGGCACACACTGAGGTGGCCTACTGTCCCCTCTCAGGAGGACAATTTGTCAAGGACCTAAAGGAAATCATACAAGCAGTCAGAAATGTCCCAGAGGAAGCTCCTCAGCCCTGCCTTGCTCTAAGCCAACCAGCTTGACCGTATACACCATCCTTATTGAGCCAAGGAACTGGTCTCCCAGACCCAGAATCCTGGAAGCAGCTCAGAGAGAACATAGGAACTGTTCTGGTGCCTGGAGGCAATTGCCTGTTTTATAATAATACAGAATCACAGTGAAAATACTAGGGACAAACAAAGACTGAACATGCAGACTGATGAAGTCAAAATCCAGGAGGTGGGATGTCACTTGGTGCAGAAGAAAAGAGCTGAATCCATCTGAGGCCCTCCAGATCACAGGCAGCTCGGCAAAGAAGTCCAGAGTTTCAGTCCTGTCAGTCCTGTTCAGAACCCTCGTTACAAAAGCTGGGGACAGTTCAGCTTGGTCTTGAGGTTTCTGGGGTTTGGTTTTGTTGTTGTTGTTGTTTGTTTGTTTATTTGTTTTGCTGGGGAAGGATGTTGAGCTACATCTGACTATGCTCAGGGACTCTTGGCTCTGTGCTCAGGGGTTACTCCTGAAAGTTTCAGGGATCAAACTAGGACTGGCTGCATGCAAGGCAAGCCTTGAATCATTGTGCACTCTCCGGCCTCCAGACCGTCTCGTTTTTAAGTTTCATCCCAAGTGGTGGCCATGGGCAAATTCACACGTGGAGCCTCTTCCCTGAGAGACACGCCCAGCAGTACTCTGGAGCTTCTCCCAGCTCTGTGCTTCGGAATCACTACTCTTTTTTTTTTTAATATAGTTTTATTTTTGTAAAGTTGTTCATAGAAATTCGTTACATTTAATATTCAAACACCAGTCCCACCACCATTGCACCTTCCCACAACCATATTTCAAATGTTTCCACCCCAAATCCCAAACTGTGCCCCCCAAAGCAGAATCGAAACAATTTTTATTGCTTTTTATGAATAATCCACTAAAAATGGCCAATAAAGTTTCCTTAGAGGAAAGTGTGTAAAGATTGTTATATTTCACCCTGGAGCCATTAAGCTCTTGTATAAGAGATTACTAACATGTTTGTTAAGCCTAATCAAAGGTTGTGTGCTACTCTTGGCACACCAGTGGTGTAAAGTATGAGAGGTCACTCCCGGAATTTTAAAATTTAGAATGTGATTATACAGCAGAATAGCTCAGGGGTGAAGCCTATGTTTCTCTCTTTCAGGACCTTTATTTCAGAATCTCTGGATCTTGGCCATTGATGAGATTATATGGCATCCGAGGCAGTTTGTGGGTGTGACTGCCAAGCTACTGGTAAACTTGGGAGATG